GAAATTTAAATGCATACACAAGTGGGGGAGGGGGTGTTGTTTGTTTGTTTGTTTTCTGATGACCAACTGGAAATATATGTGTGTGCGTATACATATATATATATATACATATATAAATATATGTATTTAAAAACTCATCACTCGTTATTGCCCTTCACTCTGTGCAGGATCAGATCCTTGGGAGAATAAAGATGACTGTTCCCTGAGTTGATGCAGTAATTGGCATCAGAAACAGCTATTCCTATAGGCATCCAGCCAGTAATTTGCTGGTACATTTCACAGCCATTTGCTTATACCAGAAGAAATTTGAGCCTCAGGCATCCTGGGTTCTGCAGAAGATTGTGACCAAATCTCTTTTTCGGAATCTGGTCCCTCTGTTTCTTCCCCTTCCAGCTCCACAAATTCTCCCTATCTGCCTTCAATTCTTTACTCTTCTGTACTGAGGGCAGATTTATTTTTCTCCTGCTTTTCTGTACTACAACAGCAACATTAGCAGGGCAGTGAGAACAATGGAGAGCCTGTCTCTATCACTATTTAAGTAGCTAGATCAGATAAGAAAAGTCCCTCTCACTCTGCAACCCTGTCAAGGTCAGTGCTGAGCTGATGGTGGTGGCAATAGGTACACAGGGTCCTGACTTGCTGTGGAAAGACACTGGGGTGGGACACACACAACAGATGGGACAGGCTCTCTCACCTAAATCCTATCCCATAGAGCAGTCAATTTATCAATCAGTCAAATGGCAGCACATTTGTAGAAATGGTAACAACCCTATTTCTGATACCTGATGGGAATCATCCTTTCCCCCACCCACCTGTAAGTCCCTGTTCCACTGTTTGAGGGAACCATGAAAATACTCAAATGAATAGCTGGGAAACTTAAAGAGAGAAAGAGCAAGATTTTTATTTTTTCTGATCCCCTTCTTCCAAATGACTGAATTGCTCACAGTAGACCTCCCTGACTGTTTTTTTTAGGCACAAACTGACACGCAAAAATTTCAACTGCAAGATACTGACCTTGCCAAAGTTATTAGTAACTGAAAATAGGCTCTTACAGAAGAAAGTTTTGGCAGCTACCAGATCTGCCTACAAATCTAGATATAGGAAATGCATTAAATTGTTGAGAATAACATTTCAGCAGCATGGCTGCGGGACAGCTTGGTCTGGTAGTAACTGTGAACCCATAACAAAGTAGGCAGTATATACAACAGCTCAGATGAACTCCATTAAAACCTTTATGTCCTACCATACCATCACTCATTTTATTTTTGCTAGGTATGTCAGAGAAAACTCCTACCTAAGGTATTTGGAATTCAAGACTAGATGCCTCAGAGGTGGCTTTTGAAGTTCAAAGGTGTGTGATAAAATTTATCAAATGGTTCTGTTATTTTTTAAAAAGATGGATGTGCCTTTTGTGCATGTGCGTAGGAAAGATTCCTCTTGTGCATCATACACAAGCTTTCCCTCCTGCTAATACACTACTGGACACTGGCATGAAATTTTTCAGTTGTTTAACAGGAAACAAAAATACCTCTTACAGACTTACAATTACAAAAATACCATTTACGGATTGATGGAGTAGAGTTACGGTAACTCCAAATGAAATTATCAGTTTGCCATCATCTATTATCAAAACTAACATTTGTGATTGTGCTACTAAAGAAAGATGGCTAAATCAAGCAGAACAGGTAGCAAATAAAACCATTCATTATTTAGCCATGAGATCATTCAAGCAGTATTTAGCTTATTAGTAATTTTTTCTATTATGCCTTATGTGCTGGAGAACATCTCACAAAATCAGAAAGGATGGATCTGCGTAAATAGGGACAGCTTTTATCCTGTTATATTTGAAATATCAGGGTATTGTATTATATTCTACAAAAATTTGCTGTTCACTTACATCACAGCTGGAAAGTGTAAACAAGCTTCAAAGCAAAATATTTTGCAGGAATTTATCTACTTCTCCTTTTAATTGATTTTTTTTAAGCACCGTAGCACAACACAATACATTGTATAGCTCCTATTAAGCACCAACAAAATTGCTTTGCTATAGCAATACAAGAGTAAATAGGATTCAAGAGAAGTAATCTAATTTTTATCTAATTCTAATAATGTGATTTTATCAAACCTTAGCTATAGCTGTGGAAATCATAGTCATAGTGCTAAAATATTCTGTTTCACAAGCCTGCAGTTCTTCAGATTCTTAATATTTTTGAGATGAATGTGAACATAGTGAAAAATAAAAAAATGTAATGTACTCTGGCCTGTCAAATGTGTGTCATACACACACATCGCCTTCAGAATTTCTGAATATGAAGCAAACAAACAAACAAACAAGCAAAAAACAACACTTTGTTATTTAGGAATAAGGCAATAGAGAGTGGTTCCTATATTCAGTTTCTTTTTATCCTAGGAAAACCACCACGATTCAGTTAGCCTGTCTTGGAAGGTAACACTTCTCCTGCTGGACAACACAGAGCTCTGTAAGTGAATGGTGATGAATGCTGACTGGACTGGTGCTTTTTCATCAGAAAAGATATTTCTGGACCTAAAATGAGGACAAAAATAGCAAGGGAAGGTTTTATTGGAGTGAGAACCAGGCTATTCAGAATTGGCTACATTGACAACAAAGGACCCAGTTTTGTTCTACCTGCCTGCACCTACCTGAGTCACACAGAGGCAAGCTCTCTGTTTCCCAGAGCATGGCATACTAACAACTACTGCACCTTTGTGCCTTCTCACATACTGGAAAAGTCCATATAAATGCTGATATGGAACTGAAAAACACATGAAATTTCAGGAGTTGTAAGGGGTTAAGAAAGCTCTTTTTAGGCCAGTTGTTTAGTAAATATAGTTTTGCAAGTGATATCGGGTCTTGAGACAGGAGTCATGAAACTGCAATAGTAGTAGCTATGCTTTTCATTTACACGGTGCTCTGCATCTGGCACATAACAAACAAAGCCTCCCAACACCTCATAAAATTAGTATCATTATCTCTGTTTCATTGGTGAGGAGACAAGACAGGAGAATTGATGACAGCATTTTGGCAGTTAGTGTCAGAATTTTGCCCCAAATTCCATATTTCAAGAACAAATCCAGAGGTCCTCAACCGGGAAAGCTCAGTGGCTTAAAAAATAGAATGGAATTCCTTTTACAATCCCTTTGTTAAGTTTAATATTCCTTACTACTTAGAGCAAAGGATTGTTATTACAAGGTACAAGGCAAATTAATTTTATTTGCCAAATAAAAAAATAGTTTTGACACAGCTACTTTTTATCCCAACCTCCTAAAATGATATTACTTGACAATTACTTCGACAATTATTTTAATTGTCAAAAGTCAGTTTGCCCATATCTATAAAATATGGAAATTTAGTGCTTTGTAGGGAATCACTCTGTTATTTTCTCTTCAAATTGAGAAAATTATCTACTTATTTAAAACCAAGGCAATTACATTTCAGATTTACTTTTCCCAGAGTGGGAAAGTAAAGACATAAGGACAGGCACCTTATGCCATTTAGAAATTATTCAGAAGCCTTCCAGAATTACAAAAATAAAAATAAAAAATAAAAAATAAATACTGAAAGGCAGAAGCAGAACAAGCAAACTTTTTTTTTTTCTTTTCTTTTCTTTTTTTTTTTAGTATTTTAAGATATTTTTTCAGGCCTTTAATCAGCAGATCTCAAGGAACTTGAAGAGAAAGATACGAGATCCATTGCATGGAGATGGGATAATTTATTCAATCATGAATAACCGGTCATAGGATACAGTCAAAGAACACACTTTTGACTTGTAGTCTCTGTAGTACCCCATAGCCCCTTTACTTAATTACAAATATATTTATATGTACTCAAGCAATTCATAATGGGTTGTGTTTTGAGGTTGGGTTTTTGTGTTTGTTTTTTTTTTGAATCTTTACAGTGGATCATAAAATCACTCTTAACCTAGGAGAATATTACAAAACAACATCAATAAGCTAATCGAGATGTTTCTATTATATTAAAAACATAATGTATAATACTTTATTTGTTATCAGTTGTAATTAGATTCTGAAGGCAGCAGCAATCTTGCATTTTGCTACTGTACCAGTATATTTTACTTTTCAACTCTAGAACAACCTCTGATATTCTGAAATATGCCAGACAACACTCACTGAAACCCACTACCTCTAGAGAAATTGTTGTCAATACAAAATGCATTGCAATTGTCACAGCTAAGCAATTTCTTAGACTGAAGGAATTTCCAAGTGATTGCATTGTACAAAAAAAAAAAAAAAAGAAAAAGAAAAAAGAGCTAACATAACACAGAAAAATTAAGTTGTCAATTGAGGTGTTACATAGCAGATGAAAAAAATTCACTGTCCACTCAAAAACATAAGAATAATCACTCAAAGGCAGTGAGACAAAGATTTGTATGACTTAGCATATAAAAGACTGGGTTTATCCTGAAAAATTCTTTGGGTCTATATATTCAGGGTTGTCTTTTTGTTTTTGTTCTGTTTTTGTGTGGTGGTTGGTTTGGTTTCCTTAGGTTTGGTTATTTTTTCTTTCTGCAAGGAGAACCCAAGAAACAGCAATGCTCAGATTTAAATTGCATTTTGAGAGAGGGTTTTTTTCCTGTAGCAGGCATGCAGAAATCCTGCTGATGGGCCAATTTACAAGAAATAGATGATGTCATTTTGATAAAGCTCTCTTCTGGTTTCACATAGCCAAGTGTTTCAGATAAATAGACTGGAAATGCATTCTGACTTGCTGCTTTCTGTGAAACTTCCAAAAAGGTCAATATCCCAAAGAATGAATGGAAATATAACAACAAGAAATTAAAGTACAATGTTTATCAAACTACTATTTTGATAATAAGATGTGTGTGTTGTGTTCAGAAAACTACATGCATAATTCAGATAGTGAAGCTTCTTGATTCCCATAGGATATCATACCATAGTACCATATGATATGACAGTATCCCACAGTATACTAGAATTGATAATCACATCAACAGACAAAATGATGGAAGTAAAAGGATTTTTTATTTTTATACTTATTTAAAACATTATTACATTGATAGAATATTATTTTAAAAGGAAGACCATATTATATTCATTCAAAACTAGTCTGTTAAGTATATATATTTAAACTCTAGTATTTCACACACATAATGAAAGAAAATTTTATTTTACAAATAGATATTTTTTAATAGATCTTATGAAAAATGTGTTTAAAAATAACTGCAAAAATCTCTCTTTAAATATACAAAACACCATTGCTGGGCTGAAGATACCTTTCTTAAAAGCCAAAAATATTTAAGTCAACAGCTGAGTCCACATCAAACCCTACTGAAAGCAGTAGTGACATAAAAATGTAAAAGCACTGTACAAAGTAAGTACAGCTTTCATTTGTCTTAATCCTGTACACATTTGTATTTGCTTTAAAAACGTTTTATAAAAACTGCCATTATTAAACTTAACATCCTTTCCCACCTGCAGAAAAAAAAAAAAAAAAAGCCACTGAGATTGTCTCTTGTTACTAAAATGTCTCCTTTTTTGGATACGAATCTTCTCCAGTAATTCAAATGGAATTTTATCACTAACTTCAAGGCAAGCAGGACTGAAAATTTTCTTCAGCATATCACTGTTTAATGCCATTTCCTCTCACTTCTCTCACTTGGTTTTCCCTCTTAGTTTCATAATGCAAAATGCTACAAAATCTTTAATGCATTAACTGGAGAAATTGTAACTCAAGTACTGCAACTTACCAGTCTCATGTATGGACTGGTTCACTGTAAAACCAAGTGTTTAATTAAACCAAAACCAACTGCAACTAACATTGTATGATTTTTAGTCAGCTGTAACCAGTCTAACATTCTGTGTGTGTGTTTGTCTGTCTTTGGCTCTTTGTTATTTCTTTATAATCCCTTCTGGCAGTGCTTCTGGAAAGAGCTTTTTAAGAAGGTGCGGTATCCTGGATCATCCACATATTCATTCCTAAAACGGGAGCTCAGTACTCTTTGTCTCTTCTTCTCTCCCAGGATAATATCTGCTCCATAAAACGTGTCTTCAAATCTCATGACAGAGGCTGTAGACTAAAACCAGACATTAATTCATTCAAAGGTCTGAGTACAGTCTTATACTTAACTTCCATATAAATTTAATGGTGTCAAATGCAAAAATAAAATATTGAACTATAAAAATGACATTTTGAGAAGAATAGCATAACCCCAGCTATGTCTGCATTGATATTCTTATTGAAATGCAACAGTTTACATTCTACAGAACATGCAGTTAATTATAAAAGCTTTTTATGAATAGTCTCTAAAACAAAAAATGGTAATGAAATGCTTTCTGTGTATAATGAAAAAAACACATTGAATATAGCCAGATGGTTCATTTAACAATTTCCAAGACATCTATCTTAATGTTAGATGATTAGAACACTTAAAGATGTGTGCACTTATTACAAATAAATGGACAGAAAAAAGTGTCTTAGTGTCATGGTTTTGGCTGGAACAAAGTTAATTTTCATCGCAGAGGCTCACACAATGCTGTGTTTTAGATTTTTGATGAAAACAGTGGTGATAATACACTGCTATTGCAGAGCAGTGCTTACACAGAATGAAGGTCTTTCAGGTCTGCTTCTTATGCTGCCCTGTCTGTGAGGATGCTGGAGGTGCACAAGAACTTGAGAGGGGATACAGCCAGGACAGCTGATGAGCCCTGCTTTCCTGGCAGTGACTGAATATCTGCCTACAGAATTATTTCCTTCTTTTGCTTTGCTTGTGCAAGTGGCTTTTGCTTTACCTAGAGATCTGTCTTTATCTCAGCCCAGGAGTTCTCTCCCTTTTACCTTTCCAATTCTCTCCCCCATCCCACCTGGGACGGGTGAGCATGCAGCTGTGTGGTGCTGAGCTGCCTGCTGGGGCTAAGCCGCATCACTTAGTCGGGAGTATTTGATCACTGCACCTCCCATTGGAAAGAGCAGTCCTACTCTTATTCTCTTGCTTCAGTGAAAGAAGGGTATCCTGCTAGTGGACACTCCCTTAGCAGGCTGACAGTCACAGATTTCTCTCTTTCATTTATCCCTGGCTTTCATTCCTTGTCTCTGATACATCCCTACCTTCTGAAATACATAGCATCCATGTAGGGGGTGGGTGTTGAGAACTGGCTAAAAGCAGACACTAATGACAGGTGTATATGGCAAGAAGCATAGAAAAGGAAAGTCTGATTCACTCAGCCAACTTTATATGCAATGCTGTGTTAGTCCACTAAACTCAGCTGATGCACGAAGAATCAACTCTACACTTTATTGTCCCACCACACCACACACCTCTCAAGAATCAGCTAAGTAATGTCACGTAACGGGTGAGCAGGAATTGTGTATGACCCCACTTCCCTGAAGGAATGAAAAATGCACTGTGTGCTGCTCTCCTTTTCATACAGTCACAGAATGGTTTGGGTTAGAAGGGACCTTAAGGATCACCTAGTTCCAACCCCCTGCCATGGGCAGGAACACCTCCCACTAGATCAGGCTGCCCAAAGCCCCGTTCAGCCTGGCCTTGAACACCTCCATGGATGGGGAATCCACAGCTTCTCTGGGCACTCTATTCCAGTGCCTCACCACCTGCTCCATAAAGAATTTATTCTGAATATCTAATCTAAATCTACCCTTTTTTATTTTGAAACCATTACTCCTTGTCCTATCACCACACTCCCTGACAAAAAGTCCCTCTCCAGCTTTCCTATAGGTCCCCCCTTTAGGTACTGGAAGGCCACTACAAGGTCTCTCTGGAGCCTTCTCTTCTCCAAACTAACAACTCCCTCAACCTGTCTTCATAAAAGAGGTGTTCCAGTCCTTTAAGCATCCCTGTGACCCTCCTCAGGACATGTCCTAGGATGTCCTTCTTGTGCTGGGGGCTCCACAGATGAAAACAGGTGGGGGGACACCAGGTGGGGTCTAATGAGAGCAGGACAGAGGGGGACAATCATCTCCCTTACCCTGCTGGCCACACTGCTTTTGATGCAGCCCAGCATACCACTGACTTTCTACGCTGCAAGCACACATGACTGGCTCATGTTGAGCTTCTCCTCAATCAACACCCCCAGGTCCTTTTCTTCACATCTAGTCTTGACCCATTTTCTGCCCAGCCTGTATCTGTGGTTGGGATTTTCCTGACTAAAGTGCAGAACCTTGCACTTGGCCCTATTGAACCTCATGAGGTTCGCACAGGCCCACCTCTCAGGCCTGTTCAGGTCCTTCTGGATGGCATCCCTTCCCTCCAGCGTGTCAACCTCACCACACAGCTTGGTGTCATTGGCACATGTGCTGAGGGTGCACTCGATTCCATTGTCCATGTCACCAACAAAGATGTTAAACAGCGCTGGTCCCAGTACTGACCCCTGAGGAACACCACCATTACTGATCCCTACTTGGATGCTGAGCCAGTGACTGCAACTCTTTGAGCGCAACCATCCAGACAATTCCTTACCCACCAAGTGGTCCATCTGTCAAATCCATGTCTCTCCAATTTAGAGACAAGGATGTCATGCAGGACTGTGTCAAATGCTTCGCACAAGTCCAGGTAGACGATGTCAGTTGCTCTCCCCCATCCATCAATGCTGTAACCCCGTTGTAGAGGGCCACCAGATTTGTCAGGTACGATCTGCCCTTACTGAAGCCATATTGGCTGTCAACGTCACAAATCAGATTTCAAAGCAGGATTCTTCAAATAAGAGGTTTATTATTATTATTACTATTATTATTATTATTATTCACGACCGTGAATTACTGTTTGTTCTCAACTGTGATAAGATTTTTACATCTTTATGTTATAGTTTTACTTAAGATAGGTAACATCATGCAATGCATGATTTTGAACAAAGAGCACTGAAATAGATCATGGCCTTGAAAAGGACATGGTGCTTTTTAGTATAGAAGTAGCAATGAATAAGACTACACAAAAATTTATCATTATAAGAAAGACGGGTAGTAGCAGCGATCTGTATCCTCCAGTAGCTGTATGACAAAACTCTCCTTTTTCAAGCTTATGTTTTTTATGAACCTCAACTCCTTTCTGAGTGCCATATACATAAATGACTAGGTAAATGTTGTTTGGAACTGCAAGAAACTGAAAAAACATAGTGAAGCTTTGGTTTAAAACTGAAGAGCAGTGAAATGCTAATAAGCCACATTTATTTAAGTCACACTGACATTTATGATTTTTGATCAGGTGATCTGTTTCTTAGGACAAGTTAATTGAATTTGTATTAAATTCAATGCTTTAACAATCAAAAAGCTCTAAGAACATGTAAAGTTTTTAGAAAGCATACACATTCTGAAAGAACACAATATTTATCATTTTTAAAACTTGATATATTATATATCTGACAGATGTTCTTCCAAGATGAACGTTTTTGGAGACAAAGATTTTATGTCTGACAACAATATTTGCCTACACTGGAAGAAAAGCTAACCATTCACACTGGCAAATGTGTACTTGCACTAACTCTTGTGCCAATTTAGCCAGTCACGTTTCAAAAAATTATTGCACTATTTAAAGTGAAAGTCAGTAATAAAGCTAAGGACAGTATTAACTGCATTTTGAACATACAAATACCATATAGTTAGAGAATACTTACAAAACGTGCTTTTACTCTTTTAGGAAGCTCTTCATCTAGTGTATAGATCTCTTCTCTCTTCATTACTATTTGAGAACCATCTTCAAACTCAACCTAATTTATTTAAAAAAAAAAAGTCTATTTAAACACAAAATCACAATTTTACTCCTGTAGGAAGTTTCTTGGAATGCCTCCAAATAAAAATGCGTGTGCAAGCAAAGATTTATACACAAATACTTTGTTAAGATAAAACAGGAAGAATGTTATTTCTTAGAAATCGAAGCACTTTCCTAAGTCAAAAATAATATCTAAGAGACTTCAAAATCAACACTGACACATACACAATAAAATAAAAATCATTAGGTTAAGAATGCTAAGCAGTAACAACACAAACAAAATAATTTGTTGGACCAACATATTAAAATGTCTTCATGTCATTTTTATTTGCTTCTTTCTTTTCCTTGTTTCTAATAAATAAAAAATAATAATTTTAACATCCTGTGCTTCAAGGTTGAGGAAGACTATGTCAAAAGAAAGAAAGTATGAGTGACAACTAAGGAAATAGCAGTTAATAGAATTTTATTGAATCTGATGGAATTTCTTTAAAATGCTCTGTTCAGAAGATGAAAAGCTTTATCATGCTTAGGTTTAGATTTAATCCAACGTGAACCCTGTTAGCAGAAAATGAGAAAGGAAATGTAACTAGGTGTGAGGAATGTTAAAATGCTGAGGCTTTGAAGCATTTATGCCTTTTCAGGAGCTGCTGATTTTTTTTTCATACTTCATCTAACAATTGTGACTTTCAGCTATTATCTAGGACTGCAGTTTTAGTTCCTACTGAAACTGTACTTAAAAGTTTTGCAAGAACTTAAAAGAAGTCCCATTTCACTTAATGAGACCACTTGAATGACAACAGACTTACGGTGGAAGAATAAGACTAAATGCATACATACAAAAACATTAACTTATCCAAGTATTATCATAGATAAATCATGTATCTGAACTTGTAGACAGAGTGGCTTTTGTAGGCTCAATGCCATGACTGCGTGTGTCAGATTAATTTTGAACAGCTGAAAAATCCAATATAGCATACCCACTGTCAAAAGTCAGAGGTAGAGATCTGTGAACTATTAACTTAAGATCTTTTACAGTAGTTTATGGGGACAAATCTGGAATGCATTTAAAATCCACAGAGCACTCCACAGAGCACAACCATGTAAAGAAAACACAAAAGTCATGTTTGTTTCTCTGCTCCTGTTACTAACTCCACAGGCCAAGTCTGCCACCAGTACATTACAGTATCTTGAAGATCCTTTTGGCTGAAGCTTGTTTAATCAAATCATGGCACTTTAGGTATTTTTCAGAATGATGCAGTAGCAGACTACCTGCTTCCATAATACATTTGGTAGTATGCTTTTGCATAATACCATTAGTAAGTAGTATATTAGTAATATGTTTTTTGCACTGCTAGTGAAAGAACTGGACAGGAAATAAATTGTGCTGTCTCCACATGATCAGAAAATGCCTTCCTGAATGGGCAATCCCTTTGTTTTTGCTAGTAGTGTAAAGTGAGAGGAAACTGCTTCATATCACAGAATTTGGCATGTTTGCAGTATGAAATATATTGAACTTCTGCAATGATGAGCAACTGGATTTTTTTCAGCTGTATTTCAGCATACTAAACTGCAAATAAATTTGCCATACCATTAAAAGCAAACACAAGACCTCCACTAAGACTTTCAGAAGAATCATGATTCATTCAAAATATAAACCACCATCTCTAAGAGCTCCAATTTAATCCTGATGGTAACTACTACATTTCAAATCCTCTATTATACCCAGCAAGTTACTGTATTTGCACTTCTGCTGCCATACTGTTTCTGTGCACCATGTTATTGTCTCCATAAGGTTTTCTTTTAACAAGGCATCAAAAACTAAAGGGTTGATAGAAAACAATTAATAGTGTGAATGAGTAACTTAACCATCTCAAATGAAAATCAAAAATAAATTCTGGTAACTATCATGCCAATATTAAAAATGACATCATACAGGTAGATCTCATTACCAATTTGACTCGAAATGAGCACCTTGGTATGTACATGAACATTTGGTATGTACAGCTCTGCTTGGGGATTGTGTAGGATAACCAGATAGCAAATGTTAAACTAGATGACGTGAATTCTGGTGCATTTTGTCAAAATCTTGCATATACAGGTATTGCTACACTCTGTGCCTCACGAACATGAGGACAATTCAAAGATTTATCCAAGTAGAATACATTTTTGTATCACACAATAAAACCTGTTTCAGAGACCACTTTTCAGTCTCTCCTTTTGTGGTATGTGCCCTCTAAGGGAACACAAATGACTTGGCAAGAGAATCTCAAGGGTCCAGCAGTGATCTCATAACCTGCAGAACGGTGTCCTAGAGCCTGCCAGACAGGCAGTGTAGAAAGACCATAGGACACACTACTGATGTGTCTTGAAATTAGCCTTGCACCCTCCATGACTTTCTGTAATTTGTGGTCATGTTGTGGCTGTTCTGTCCTACAGACTGAAATACTTGTTAAATTGCCAAAATCCTATGTGGTGTAATCTGGACTCCCTCTGATCTTTGCTATTTCCACCATTTATTAAAAAAAAATAAATAAAATTGGTTTGTTAAGGCCAGATTGCAATAGCAATCATTGTTACACTGAGGAACTGCAAACCTTACCAAACCTCCTTACGCTAATCCATTTTCCTTAAATTAAACTGATTTCAACATGTTGTCAAAGAGGACTCAAATAAGGCAAAAAGTTCATTATTCCTATTTCAGTTTTCTTCAAATATTCAAGATAACAACCACATTAATCTAATCTCACAGTATTCCTTAGAAGACCAACTGTTTAGAAGATTAAATGATTTGAAGATTAATGTTACTGTAGAACTATCTTTATATTTTATAAAGAACTTTTCACCTTCACAAAATAATACATCCTCTAAACATAAGAGGTAAGATTTAGAGACTAGCTCAAGGGATCAGGTATTTGAGGACTTGAGTTTGATTGCAAGTCATTGGCAAGCTGAGAAGGTCAATGCAGCATGTCATTTAGCCTCTCTGTGCCTTAATTTATCTACAGATCTAATAGCAAATTTGCCATTTTTGTAGAGTAATGTGAGGCCCTCAGATGAAAAGAGTTACATAAGTGAAAATGATTATATATCTCTATATATATGTATAAATGAAATGTACCTAGATTCTCATTCTTCCAGAAGTGCTATTATTATTGTGATTGTTTTATTGCAGTTTCTACCATTCACTTGGGAACTTAAAGCTGCCGACTGATTTTTCTCAAAGGCAAGCACGTAAAAAGAAAAAAGGAAAAAAAAATATCGTGTCTGAAATCAGAAGTCAGCTTTTTAGCATTAAAAAGTTATTAAGGCTACCATGTTCAGATTAATTTTGCCATTTTGCTTTTGCTAAAGATAAAGCACTCCTTAGACTGATTATGTGTTAATCAATTCAATAGTGCCTAACACAAAAGAAAGTGGGGCTATTTACACTCTTCTTTTTACTGTCTTTCTTTCAATTTTTTTATTAAATGCCTACAAGTCATCATAGTCGCATACCAATACTCGATCTTATCTCTTTAATTACGTAATTACCTGATATCAAATAAATAAATAACCAACCTGGAGATAAATAATCTGGAACAATAACAAATGCTATTTTTCAATCTGAATGTTTTACCTGCTAACCTTATAAAATGAAGACTACTGATTACTATTGAGTTGCATTAGGTAAACAAATTTCTTGATTTTAGAAGAACGGGTGAAACTTCACCTCCCTAGGAACGCACAGTACTGGTTAATGTTTTAGAAAGCTTTATTTACCAATTTAAATGCATTAGCAGTTACAATGTAGTCCACATTCCTGCCTTCTGCAGCTTTGCCAGTGTGGCCTGCCACTCCAATACGAGAGCCAGATGAGCAATTTGCAATAATCACATCTCAAAAATAGGTGCATGCTAATAAATATAGACACTCACCTGATACATGTGAGCTGTATTTGTTCCCAGGTACTTTGCACCATACAGTTTTCCATCAGGCCATTTCACTTGGACAACCTCTCCCTCTGCAGGTGGGCCCAGCTTTAGGCAGTCTCTGCTCTATTTATAAAGAAGGATGGATTCTCTCATCAGTGAGTGAGCCTTTGAAATTACCAGTAAGCTGTTTCTTACAACTTGATAATTGGAGGAGATTTATTACCATGCGTGTTTCAAGTTTTATAATCCTGCTAATGGGGTAACAGAAGATACTGTTAGCCTTTATGAAAATGAAATACTGACCAAAGAAGCACTCTCTTAACAGCTTGGCGCTGCATTGGCAAGGCAACATGTGCATAAATCAGATAGCTATCAACAACTGTGATATATTTCCCCAAATTAATTTCTGTCACACACTGAAAATAAAGATCACTAAAGTGCAATTGAATATGTGCAATGATTTCTTTTACATATTCAAATAACTCATGTTTTGTTAATTGCAGCACATTTTTGCTAGATGTTAACTGCTGACTGAAACATAATGTGATGGATCAAACTATAAATGGTGAGAATATCAATGTGTTCTTTGCTTAGCTGATGGAGAAACACTGAAAGAGCCCAATCTAAATACTTACAATGGAGAACAGGTGGAGGGTTTCTTTGGTTTGTTTGTATTGTGTTTTTTGTTTTTTTTTCTATAAATCATGAGGCTTCTTTTTTTTCCCTGGCCCATTTTTGGCCAGATTTTGTGCCTGATTTGTTGAGCATGTCAGAGCAGCATGGTTCATTCTGTTTATGACATATCCTTGTTATGATTTCTTTTGCCCGATAGGGCAAAAATAACCGATGACCCAAATGACTGATTTGCAGAGCTCATTGACTACATACCCATTACTACAACTGTGCACATCAGAAAATACATGAAGGACCAGGAAAGGACCATGCCAGGTCCTCACCAATTTCTTTTGAAATTATCTCCTCCAACAATTCAACCACAAAAAGGCATCTATACTTTGTAGTGACTATATCAGAAGACTTGTGATATAAATTAGCACTACTTTAGTGGTATTCCGAAAGGTGTGGAAAGACCTGCTCTGTCCATGATATCAGAGCACACTGCTAAGAGAAATAAAATGGGAAGACAAAAGACAAAGCCAAGGGCTCAGGTAAATGGATACAGAGACAAACTTCTGCAGGATCTGGTATTATCTCAGGTTGCTATGTTACTGTTACGTTTTTAAAGTCTCAGAATAGAATAAATTCCAACAATATTATTTCTCTTATGTATTTTGAGTTCAGCAGGTACGTCCAACTGAAGCCAACAATCATGACAACGAACTCAAAATGTGGGAGCAAAAATGCACCACAGTGATCCTTACTGGAACATTATCTTATTATAATATTACATTAGCCTAATTCAGGCCTTATAAGTTATTTTTAATCATACGTATCTTATCCATGAAATTGATTCAGCCCATGAGAAAAGCAGAGAAAAGCTTGGCTTTCATAGAAGCACAGTTTCTTGCAAAACAGATGACAATGCTGTCTCTGTCATCTCTCAGGATTTATGCCAGGAGTACAGCTCTTAAATACACCATGTGTGTTTGCTTGGCAAATGCTGCTGTGACAGACCCAGAGAGATGTATCCTTTCAATTTCACCATATATCCAACGGGTCCACCTGTTTCTGGCGTAGCAGGTGGCATTACTGTGCTACCCTTCCCAGTATTTCCAGGGGACAGGCAGAGCAGGTAGTTTCTCTCCTCAGTGATGACTATGAAAATGCTCATTGACATTATTATACTTCTTCCTTATCTATTGCTAAAGCCCACAAAAATAAGAAAAAGCCTTGGCAAAGTGTCATGAACCAAACTCTTAAAATACATAATGGAACACATAAAATTTCCAAAACCAAACAATCTATCATCAATGTCAAGCCAAACATTAATTTTGCAAGAACAAAAGCCCATCGTAAATCACGCCCTGTCCATCTTGAACAGGAAGAAGTCACATAGCTACTGTAGGACAACTCGTGAAATTACTCATAGAGAAAATCAGAGTTCTCATGCAAATAACTGAAGGGAGCTGTAATTAGGACAAATACTCATTCTTCACGTATAACCATGGTACTTTAGTCTATGGAACAACGTTTGGGAAATCCATACTAAACCAGTTGTGTCGATTACTGCTGTATTACATGAACCTTCTGTAGATTTTATCTTTTTACTGCAAAAATCATTTTCACCATTTTCTTCTTGGGCACGAACCCATTTGTTAGGCTGCCAGAACTACCAAAATGCAACCTCACTCTTCTTGGTTGAGTAATGAAAAGATGGACATCAGGATGTGGCAATCCCTTAACACTCCAATAGACCAGTTGTAAAATGCGTAGTGTGGCTACAGGAGAGCCCAGAACTGGACACAGAGCTTCAGACATGGTCTCACCCATTCTAAGTTTACAGACATTAAAATAATTTCATTATGAGCAAAAACATGTAGAGAGCATTTTTGAAACTTTTTTTTTTCTTTAACAGACTGAATTTTCTGGATTTAGAAACATTCATTTTGGAGTTCATTATAGGCATTGAACTAGAACAGCAAGCAATCCATTAGTAATAAAGGTTGGGAAAATATATTGAAATACTGTTTTTTGCCTCCTAAGACAAAAAGTTCTGTCTCCGAGAAATCCTTGTGTACACCACTACAGATAGAGGAGAGGTATTTTTTCCTACATTCTTTTTTCTTCTGATATCCCTTTGTTTTTAGTACTGTGATTGAACAATACTTTGCTTCATTAAAGCTGGACAGAATATCTGCAAGTACCAAATCTAGCTGTAGTGCCAGGGTGGTGATGTCTGACACTAACTACATAGAAGAATAGGAACAATTATAGGACCTATTTAAGAAAAAAGGGGGGAGAGGGGTGGGTCTTCGCCTGGAATATGCATTTAAGTCCAGGAACTGAGAAATGTTGCAAGATATCCATAATCTGATGCAGCCACTGAAACCCGAATAACGTATCTTACTTTTTAAAAAGAGTTGAAAAAATACATTCAAATGCTTTCCAAAATCCAGGCTAAAAAATATAGATATTATGATCTAAAATGAACTTAAGAACTACTGACTTCTCCAAAGCTGTTAGATGAAGATGTTCCTTGGATAGCTACAATTTTATTGACAATGTTTTTCTTGGCAATTATAATATGAATTCAGCTATTTCAAATTCATTGCTGATTTGGGAAATAATACAAATCTAAGAGACTTTGATTTCTTCTAGGTTAATTCAAAGCAGCCACACTAAAAACAAGCATACTTAGAGAATTCAGAGGAAACATAAAAACCTGTGGTGTGATCCTGAAGAGAGCGGGGCTAAATTTCAGTGCTCCGGAGCAAGTCATCTGCTACAGGTGTGGCTTGTATCTTTAGGCACTGGCTTAAAGAAGCTTGCAAGTTAAATTGATAGTAGAAAGGATGCTGTACTTTTTCATGTAAAGATTGTAGTAGGAAGTGATGAAATTACTCTCTGACTCCAGATACGAGCCAAAGTTAATTTACAGAGTCTCTGGTCTGACAGAAAGGTAGACAGAGAAAAAATCTTAGAAAGGGAAATATTGGCATAGCTGAGGTAAAATATTTTAGTATTTAATAAGGAAAAAAAGTTTTAGTTTGACTTTTTTCCCCACAGTGAGAATGGCAGAAGTTGAACATAAAGACCTGAAGACCACAACACATCCTTTAATAACACTTTTATATTTTTTCTTTTCAGAAAGAAGAAGCTCTCAAAAATACTTATGAATATTCTAAATTCCTTCTGAATCTAGCATCAAGAGACGTTTTTTCAATAGCTTGTACAACATTCTGCAACAGTCAGCTTATAACAAGTTTGGAATTTCAGGAGCTTAACTGGAAGCATATTCAGAAAAGTGTTGCCAGCGGGTCAAGGGAGGTGATCCTACCCCTCCACTCAGCCCTGGTGAGGCCACACCTTGAGTATCGTGTCCAGTTCTGGGCTCCCCAGTGCAAGAGGGACATCAATCAAGTCCAGAGAAGGGCTACAAAGATGATCAGGGGACTGGAGTACAAGGACTGGCTGAGAGAGCTGGGCCTGTTTAGCCTGGAGAAGAAAAGACTGAGGGGAGACCTCACCAGTACATATAATCTGAAAGGAGAGTGTCAAGAGGATGGAGCCAGTCTCTTTTCAGTTGTGCCCAGTGACAGGACAAGAGGCAATGGGCACAAACTGAAGCACAGGAGGTTCTGTCTGAATATGAGAGGGCACTTCTTTACTGTGAGGGTGACAGAGCTCTGGCACAGGTTGCCCAGAGAGGCTGTGGAGTCTCTTTTTCTGGAGGTTATTCAAAACTGGAGGTATTCAAAACCCACCTGGATGCCATCCTGTACAATGTGCTCTAGGTGATCCTGCTCGGCAGGGGGGTTGGACTAGATGATCTTCAGAGGTCCCTTCCAACCTCAGCCATTCTGTGTGATTCTGTGATTCATATCTTTTCAAATCTGATTCAGTCTCTGGTGAATATGGCATTTGATTGGTGAAGAAAGAAGTCAATTAACTCCCTTAACTTAAAGCAGTAAGATCATGGCCAAAAAGGTAAATATTGTATTTAAAATCAAAGCAATAGCATTGGTCATTATATCTCAAGAATTTGTTTGAAAAGAGAAAAATGCCATATGGCATAATTTAGAGGTGGTATAAGCCCATCAGTTGTCTAATGTTTTAAATTGTTGCTGGAAAACAATCAGAGTGAAAATGATAAATTGCCAAATACAAATATCTGTTTGTTTAAATCAGGGGGCAACTTCATGAAATCACGTAGCTCTTTTTAATTTTTTGACAATGTGATCCTGCCCTGATTCAAGAAAAGATACAATGATAAAGATCCTGATTTGATCCTCCAACTGATTACTATGACAGGATACCAAGATGGTGAAAGACTAGAGAAGAAGACATGGTGGCTGAGGTCACTTGGCCTGTTCAGCCTGGAGAAGAGGAGGCTGAGGGGAGACCTCATCGCAGTCTGCAGTTCACTCAAAAAGGGGAGTGGAGGAGCAGTCGCCGATCTATTCTCTTTAGTCACCAGTGATAAGACCATGGGAATGGAGTCAAGC